CGGCGACGGTTGGCATGGGGACCGTTGTCTTGGTGACGGTTGGAGTGGAGGCGGTTGGCGTGGGGAGGGTTGTCTCAGGTCCGGTTGGCGTGTGGACGGATGGCGTCGGGACCGTTGTTTCAGAGATAGGTGTCTCCGGGCCGGGTGTCTTGTGGACGGGTAGCTCCAGGGTGGGTGTCTCTGTGACGGGTGTCTTGGCGACGGTTGGCGTGGGGAAGGTTATCACGGTGATGGTTGGTGTGGGGATGGTTGTCTGAGGGACGAATGCCATCTGGGCTATTGTTTCAGCGAAGGTTGGCATGGGGACGGTTGTCTCGGCGACGGTTAGCATGGGGACAGTTGGTGTGGCGACGGTTGTCTCGGGGACCGTTAGCCTGGCGATGGTTCCATTGGGGACGGTTGACATGAGGGCAGTTGTCACGGCGACGGTTGGCATGGATGTAGATGTCTAGGCAACGGTTGGCATGGGGATCATTGTCTTGGCAATGATTGTCTCAGAGACAGTTTGTATGGGCACGGGTGGTGTGGGGACAGTTGTTTCAGCAACTGTTGGCGTGGGCACAGTTGTCCTGGGGGACAGTTTACCTGGGGGATGGTTGGCGTGGGGGATGGTTGTTTTAGCGACAGTTTGCGTGGGGACCGTTGTCACGTTGACGGTTGGAGTGGCGGGGGGGGGGGGGGGGGATGTGTTGTCTCGGGTCCGGTTGGCGTGTGGACGGATGGCGTCGGGTCCGTTGTTTCGGAGATGGGCGTCTCCGGGACGGGTGTCTTGAGGACGGGTATCTCCAAGGTGGGCGTCTCTGTGACGGGTCTCTTGGTGACGGTTGGCGTGGGGATTGTTGTTTTGGCGACGGTTGGCGTGGGGACGGTTGGTATGGGGACTGTTGTCTCTGTGACGGTTGGCATGGCAACGGTTGGTATAGGGACCGTTGTCTTGGCAAAGGTTGGCGTGGCGACGGTTGGTGTGGGGACCGTTGGTGTTGGGATGGTTGTTCTGGGGAGGGCTGTGTCGGGGTCGATTTTTGTGGAGACAGTTGGCTTGGGGACGGTTGCATCGTGGACAGTTGGCATGGGGGCAGTTTTCACGGCCGCGGTTGGTGTAGCAACGGATGGCATGGGGGCCGTTTTTTTGCGACGGTTGGCGTGGTGAAGGTTGGCGTGGGGACCGTTTTTTCAGCGATGGTTCGCGTAGCGATGGTTGCCGTGGGGACATTTGTCTCGGTGACGGTTGCCATGGGGACCGTTGTCTCGGTGACGGTTGGCGTGGGGAGGGTTGTCTCTGGTCCGGTTGGCGTGGGGACTGTTGTCTTGGTGACGGTTCGTGTGGGGACCGTTGTCTCGGTGACGGTTGGCGTGGGGACCGTTGTGTTGGCGACGGTTTATTCAGCGACACTTGGTATGAGGACTATTGTCTCCGCGACAGTTGGCGTGAGGATCGTTGGCCTGGGTGACCGTTGGCCTGGGGGATGGTTGTTTCAGCGACAGTTGGCGTGGGGACGGTTGGCGTTGGGACTGTTGTCTTGGCGATGGTTGGCGTGGCGACGGTTGGCTTGGGAACCGTTGTCTTGGCGACGGTTGGCGTGGGGACCATTGTCTCGGCGATGGTTGGCATGGGGGTGATTGGCGTGGGGAGGGTTGTCTCGCGTCCGTTTGGCGTGTGGACCGATGGCGTTGAGACCATTGTTTCAGCGATGGGTGTCTCTGTGACTGGTGTCTCGGGGAGGGTTGGCGTGGGGACCGTTGTCTCGGTGACGGTTGGCATGGCGATGGTTGGTGTGGGGGTGGTTGGAGTGGGGAGGGTTGTCTCGGGTCCGGTTGGTGTGGGGACCATTGTTCCGGTAATGGGTGTCTCGGTGGTGGTTGGCGTGGGGGCGGTTGTCATTGCGACGGTTGGTGTGGGGACGGTTGTCATGGCGATGATTGGCGTGGGGACAGTTGGGACGGTGACAGCTGGCGTGGGGACAGTTAACTTGTTGATGGTTGTCTTTTGACGCTTGTCTCAGTGACAGTTGGCGGGGGCATGGTTGTCATGGGGACGGTTGTCTGTTGTCTGGATGGCGTGGGGACGGTTGTTTCGGTGACGTTTGTCGTGGGGATCGTTGTCTTGGCGACGGTTGGTGTGGGGATGGTTGTCTCGGTGACAGTTGGCGTGGGAACCGTTGTTTCGGTGAAGGTTTGCATGGGGCCGTTGTCTCGGCGACGGTTGGCGTGGCGGCGGTTGGCGTGAGGACCGTTGTCTCGGCGACGGTTGGGGCGGGGACCATTGTTTCGGCGAAGTTTGGCGTGGGGACGGTTGGCGTGTGGACGGATGGTGTGGGGACCGTTGTTTCAGCGATGCGTGTGTCTGTGACCGGTGTCTCGGTGACGGTTGGTGTGGGGACAGTTGTCATGAGGAGAGTTGGCGTCGGGACGGTTGTCACAGTGACGGTTGGCATGGTGATGGTTATCTTGGTGATGGTTTTCTTTGTGACGGTTGTCACAGCGGCGGTTGGCGTGGCCATGTTCGGCTTAGGGACGGTTGTCTTAGCGACAAGAGAATGGCTGTCTCAGAGACGGTTGTCTCGGCGACGGCTGGAGTGGTGACCATTGTCTTGGCGACGGTTCGCGTGGTGATGGTTGGCCTGGGGACCGTTGGCGTGGCGACGGTTGGTTGGCGTGGGGACCGTTTTCTCGGCATTGGTTGGCGTGGGGACCATTGGGATTGTTGTTGTGGAGACATTTGGCCTGGGGACGGTTGGCATAGGGGCACTTGTAACGGCTACGGTTGGCGTGGATGTAGATGTCTAGGCAATGGTGGGCGTGGGGATCGTTGTCTTAACAATGGTTGTCTCAGTGACAGTTGGCGTGGGGACGGTTGTCTCAGCGACTGTTTGCGTGGTTATAGTTGGCGTGTAGTTGACGGTTGTCACAGTGACGGTTGGCATGGCGATGGTTGTCTTGGTGATGGTTTTTTCAGTGACGGTTGGCGGGATGGTTGTCTCGGTGATAGTTGGCGTGGGGATGGTTGTGTTGTCGAAGGTTGGCGTGGCGGCGGTTGGTGTGGGAAGGGTTGGCGTGGGGACCGTTGTCTTGGCGCCGGTTGGCATGGGGGTGGTTGGAGTCGGGATGGTTGTCTTGGTGATGGTTGTGTTGGCGATGGTTGGTTTGGAGACGGTTGTCTCAGGGACGAATGGGGTCTGGACCGTTGTCTCGGCGACGGTTGTCTCGGTGAAGGTTGGTGTGGGGACCGTTGTCTCGGCGACGGTTGGCGTGGCAACCGTTGGCGTAGGGACCGTTTTCTTGGCGGCGGTTGGTGTGGGGACCGTTGTCTCGGCGACAGGTGGCGTGGGGAGGGTTGGCGTGGGGGATGGTTGGCATGGGGACCGTTGTCTTGGCGGCGGTTGGCATGTGGACGGATGGCGTGGGGACCGTTGTTTCAGTGATGGGTGTCTGCGGGATGGTTGCAGCAAGGACGGGTGTTTCCAGAATGGGTGTCGCGGCGACGGTTGGTGTGGGGACGGTTGACACAGCGGCGGTTGGCGTGGGGGTGGTTGGAGTCAGGAGGGTTGTCTCGGGTCCAGTTGGCGTGTGGACGGATGGCGTGGGGACCATTGTTTCAGCGTTGTGTGGCTCCGGGATGGCTTTATCGGGGACGGGTGTTTCCAGGATGGATGTCTCTGTGATGGGTGTCTCGGCGATGGTAGGCATGGGGATGGTTGTCTCGGCGATGGTTGTGTTGGCGAAGGTTGGTTTGGAGACGGTTGTTTCAGGGATGAATGGGGTCTGGACCGTTGTCTCGGCGACGGTTGTCTCGGTGAAGGTTGGTGTGGGGACCGTTGTCTTGGTGACGGTTGGCATGGGGACCGTTGTCTCGGCGACGGTTGGCGTGGCAACCGTTGGCGTAGGGACCGTTTTCTTGGCGGCGGTTGGTGTGGGGACCGTTGTCTCGGCGACAGGTGGCGTGGGGAAGGTTGGCCTGGGGGATGGTTGGCGTGGGGACCGTTGTCTCGGAGATGGTTGGCGTGGTGACCGTTATCTTGGCGGCGGTTGGCGTGTGGACTGATGGCATGGGGACCGTTGTTTCAGCGATGGGTGTCTGCGGGATGGTTGCAGCGGGGACGGGTGTTTCCAGGATGGGTGTCTCAGCAATGGTTGGCGTGGGGACTGTTGACACAGCGACGGTTGGTGTGGGGGTGGTTGTCACGGTGTTCGTGGGTGTGCGGATGGTTATCTTGCTGATGGTTGTCTTTGCGATGGTTGTCTCAGTGACAGTTGGCATGGGCATGGTTGGTTTGGGGATGGTTGTCTCAGCTACGGTTGGCGTGGGGATGGTTGTCTCGGCGACCGTTCTGTTGGCGAATTGTGTTGGCGACGGTTGGCATGGGGACGGTTGTCTCGGTGACAGTTGGCATGGCAAGGGTTTACATGGCGACCGTTGTCTCGGCGACGGTTGGCGTGGTAACGGTTGGTGTGGCGACCATTGTTTCGGCGACGGTTGGCGTGGGGGCCGTTGGCGTTGGGTTGGTTGTTTTGGGGAGGGTTGTCTCGGGGATGATTTTTGTTGGGAGCAGTTAGCCTGGGGATGTTTGCATCGGGGATGGTTGGCATGGGGGTTGTTGTCACGGTCCCGGTTGGCGTGAATGCAGATGTGTAGGCAGCGGTTGGTGTGGGGATGGTTGTTTCAGTAACAGTTGGCGTGGGCACGGATGGCTTCGGGGTGGTTGTCTCAGCGACTGATGGCATGGGGACGGTTGGCCTGGTGAACATTTGGTGTGGGGGATGGTTGTTTCAGCAACAGGTGGCGTGGGGGCAGTTATCTTGTTGATGGTTGTCTTTGGGCAGGTGTCTCAGAGACGGGTGGCACAAAAAAAAAGCATGGTTGTCTTGGGGTAGGTTGTGTCCGCGACTGTTGGCGTGGAGGTGGTTGTCTTGGCGACGGTAGTCTCAGCGATGGTTGGCGTGGGGACCGTTATTTCGGTGGTGTTTGGCGTGGGGATGGTTGTCTCAGCGACGGTTGGCGTGGGGATGGTTGTCTCGGTGAAGCTTGGCTTGGGGATGGTTGTCTCGGTGATGGTTGGCGTGGGGATGGTTGTCTTGGCGACAGTTGGCGTGGTAACCATTGTTTCGGTGAAGGTTTGCGTGGGGACCGTTGTCACGGCGACGGTTGGCATGGCGGCGGATGGCGTGAGGGCGGTTGCTTTGGCGGC